ATCCATTATAACTTGTAGGAAACTGAAAAAGTTAAAAGTAAACACCAGTGAAATCTTCCTTGTCAGAGGAAGGTCTGATAAATGTCCTTTACATCTTTTTTTTTTCCTGTGCTGTTTTTATTGGGTTGTTTGCTAATAAAGCTGTATTCTTTCAGCACATCGTCAGAAACACGTTCTATGTCATTGCAAAGTTTATCATTATTTTTAATGATCCTTGTAGTAGTCTTGTGTTTAAGTTACCAAGGTTTTTTATTATTTAACAGACTTTTCTGGTTAAGGTCTTCTTCTTCTTTTTTTTTTTTTTTGTCGGTTGTGGGGCTTGAACTCTGGGCCTGGGCACTGTCCCTCAGCTCTTCAGCTCAAGGTGAGCGCTCTACCACTTGAGCTACAGCGCCACTTCCGGTTTTCTGGTGGTTTATTGGAGATAGGAGTCTCACGGTCTCTCCTGCCCGGGCTGGCTTTGAACCGTGATCCTCAGATCTCAGCCTCCTGAGTAGCTAGGATTACAGGCGTGAGCCACCAGGGCCCGGCGGTTAAGGTCTTTTTAACCCAAATTAATTACTTGGTTTAAAGTTCTGTGTATTTTCCGGATTCTTGGTGTTCCATTTCCCATTGTTCCCGAGGCAGTTTCATTCCCATTAATATTTCTACTCTTCTACTGTTCTGCTATTTATATGCTTTTTCTTTAGCACTTTATGTGTGTGTGTGCGCTGTGCATGCATGTACATATACACAATTCCCAAGTCCCAAAGCTTGAACTCAGGGCTGGGTACTATCACTGAGCTTTTTTTTTTTTCAAGTAAGGGGTAGGTTTATTCAGTAGACCTGCTGGGACCAGGCCAGGTTGGCATTCCACACGGCTGGGAAAGGCCTGGGAAAGACCTGAGAAAGACAGAGCTGGGAAAAGAGGTGGGAAAAAGAGAGAGCTGGGAAAAAGAGCTAAAAGAGCAGGGAAAGAGCCGAGAAGGAAAGAGCGTCTGGGCCTGGGCTAGGTCTTATCTAGGGTTTGGGCGGAGAAAGGTGTGGCCACATCAAATTCAGATGTGACCTCAGCGGATGCAGATGTGACCTCTTCCAGGTGTGCCAGTTGCCTAGGTAATGCAGGTACTGGGTGGAGACTTTGCTGCGAGGAGGGTGGAGTCTGCTGGCCATCCAGGAGCGGACCTTACATTCCAGCCTTTTAATAATCGTGAAATAGGGCACAGATTCTCTCTGGCTACTTCCTGCTGACAAGGGTCGTGGACAATAGGGGTAAAAGGCTGGTCCCCTCCCAGAGAAGGCAGCGAGCAGCAGCTTTCCCTTGGTGGTGTGAGTCCTCAGATGAAGCCTGGAGAAGTCTCATGAGGCATTGAGGGGCTGGAAAAAAAATACTAGAGAGCAAATAAATGGCAAGAGGAAGGACTTGGGGCTGAAAAATGTTGGTAGATATGTCCCTATCTGGTGACAAGGTAGAGGAGAATTCAGGTAACAAAGGCAAGAATGTAAATTCCTGTTCAGTTAATAGGTAGACAGGTATAGACGTTGGCTGGGCAGGCTTCTTTCTTCTACTGACCTCCCGGCTCTGGTTAATTTTGAAAGGGCAGGCACAGAGTAGCTGATGTGACATCATCTCCTCTTACTCCTCTCCATGGTCCCTTGTTCCTCAGACTGGCTGAGTCTAGGTGCTCATTGCTGGGATGGCTTGTCCCAGTTGGTATTCAAGGAGGTTTCAACTCAAGGCCTGGGCACTCCCTGAGCACTGCTGCTCAAGGCTAGTGCTCTACCACTTTGAGTTACAGTACCACTTCCAGTGTTTGGCTGGTTAGAGATAAGAGTCTTGAGCCAGCTTCCAGCCTGGCTCTTTACAGGTTAGTTGGGAGATGGAGTCTTAGGGATTTTTCGCCCCGGGCTGGCTTTGAACTGCAATCTTTGCCACAAAAGCTCTTTATTATTTCCGATTAAAGCAACAAGGAGATGAACTAGAATAAGTAGAGTTTACCTATTTATCAAGTTCTTATCAATAATTGACCAACAAATAGTCTGCAATGACGAAACTCATTAGATGTGATGAGAATTTTATCACAGATATGCCCAGTATTTTAGAACCACATAGTCAGTAGTAGAATACACAACACAAAACAAAAAAGGCAAAACTCAAAACCTAAAATTTTGACAACAATGTTTAGACATCTTTGCTAACAAAGCACATCAGATGGTTGGGCCTCACTTACCAGGGCCTGTGAAAAGAGCAACTTGTTAGCAAGGCACCTTAGAATGGATGGAGTGGTAAACTTAGTGGAAGGTTAAGGGTCAGATGGGGCCAAACCCTTAACCCACCATGTGGCCAAGATGGCGAATTTCTGAAAAAATGCAAAGAAACCCTGAACAAATAAATCAAGCCTAGTTTGGCTAGCCTTTGAGAGGGAACCTAGAGGGGGGTCCCTGGGACCCAGCCTGCGTCGCACTCTTCAGGGCACAAGCCAAAATGTAGAAAAGAAAAAAGGAGAGATAGGAAAAGTTGGACATGACTGGCAGAGAGAGAGCAAAGAGAACCTGAAAATAAACAGACTTCTGACCATTTACCATTGCAGTGGCAAAAACTGTCTACGTCTGAGAATGGCATAAAAATGAGGCACTCTGGCTTTCCAGGGAGCGCAGGAGGCATTTCAGAGGGGTTTTACCGCTTGGGTGTGACTTGCAGCACCCCATTAAATGTGTAGGAGAGTCAGTCTGGTGAGTGAAGGAGATCTGACCAGGCAGAAGCGGCGTCCCGACTTCCCCCAGAGCCCTCTAGAGAGAAATGGCCAAGCCCCCAAAACCAAGTGTCCTCGGCTTCAGATGTGACTGGCCTTTCAGCTAAAGGCCGTAGGAGCTCTCTGGCGTGGTGCCACGTGTGGACAGAGACTGAGCGACAGAGAGCCGTAGAGAGTAGTTTCACTCACCAGAGTAGAGAAGTGGTGTGGACGTGGATGTGAAGGCAGCAATGGTATCCATGCGCTGTGTCCGCAGCAGACAGACCGGTTCGCAAAAGGCCGTCAGAACTGTAGGTATTCCTCAGAGCAAAAAGGGAAGAACAAACAAAAAAAGAAAAAAGGGGAAAAAACAGAGAGGAATCTCAGCTGTCCTGACTTTAAGCCCTTTATCCGAGTCACGGCACCATTTATGTTAGGTTTTTTTTTAATTTTTATTTTTTAGGACTTAATATTTTTTTATTATAAAACACTACAAATTTGCAGAAATTGAGATAGTGTGGCACTAATGAGCTTTCATTAGTGTTCAGTTCAATTTTGAAAAAATAGGCTAAGAAATTCAATAGGGAAAAGAGCAGTTTTCCTATCAATGGAACTACATATCTACATGTAAAGCTTTACATCATATGAAAACATAACTCAAAATGGATCATACATATAAAAATATAAAACCCTAAGAGTGTGACTTCCTAATCTTGGATGGGATAATGACTCTGGTGACTCCTTAGATATAATACAAAAGCACAAAAAATAAAAAAAAATGATTAAATGGAACTCATCAAAATTGAAAACTTTTGTGCTTCAACTATACTTCAAAATTGTGAAGAGACAAAGCACAGTCTATGAGGACATATTTGTAAATTATATATCTAAAAGGAGACTTGCATTTATATCCTTAAGAAAACAGCCCCATTAGAAGTTGGGCAAAGGATTTGAAGGGACATTTTTCTAAGGAAGATTATATAAAGAGCTAATAATAATAAGTACTCTATGTAAATGTAAATCAAAACCGCAATCTACTTCACACCCACTTGGTGACTAGAATGATTATATTTAAAAAGAAAACAAAGCAAAACACAGACAATAAATATCAATGAAGGAGAAATTGAACCCTTGTATATTGCTAGCAGATTGTAAAATGGTGTAATTCCTCCAGAAATGGTTTGCAGTTCTTTAGAACATACAGTTACCACATGACTAAACAACTCTATTTGAAGGTATATACCCAACAGTTTTTGTCACAAAAATGGATATGCAAATATATGTTAGGTTTTTAAAAAGAGGTGGCCAAGTAAGAACAGCACCACACAGGTGGTATTCAGGTAAGGGGTAGGTTTATTCAGTAGATCTGCTGGGACCAGGCCAGATTGGCATTCCACACGGCTGGAAAGGCCTGGGAAAGTCACTGAGCTTTTTTCTCAAGGCTAGTGCTCTTCCACAACTCCACTTCTGGCTTTTTGGTGGTTAATTGGAGATAAAAGTCTCATGGACTTTACTGTTCAAGCTGGCTTTGAACTGTGATCCTTAGATCTCAGCCTCTTGCATAGCTAGGATTACAGGTATAAGCACCAGCTCTGTACCTAATTTTTAAGAACTTCCCTAATTGCTTTTTAAATTTTGGTTTTCATATTATCCCATTAGTCTATTAGCACTGAATTTAGTTGAGTGAAATTATGTGAAAGTTTTAGTTCTGAAAGTAGTATTCAGATAACATCCATATAACAGTGTCATTTGCATTTTATGAAATTGTGATTTACAATAAGTTGCAGATGTGATTTCTTTTTTTAAAAAATGGGACTAGGTGACACTAGCTCATGCCTGTAATTCTAGCTACTCCAGAGGTTGAGATCAGGTGCTGGTTAAGGAGGCTGAGAGCTGAGCATTGTGGTTTGAAGCCAGCTCCTACAGAAAAGTACATGTGATTCTTATCTGCAATAAACCAGCAAAAATGGGGAAGTAGAGTTATGGCTTAAATAGTAGAATGCTAGCTTTGAGCAAAAACGCCAAGTGAGAGCATAAGGCTCTGAGTTCAAACCTCCCCCCCCACCTAGCAAAAACAGGACTTGAGTTGTGTCTCACATGGTAGAGTACCAGTCAACCCAACCAAGCAAGTTGAGCAAGCTCTATGCCCTAAGTTCAAATCTTGGCACCTGAAGAGAAAAAAAAAAAGCTTTGTTTTAAGGTTTTTTAAAATAAATGATTTCAGTTTAATGATTTCAAACGTGCTGTTACATTTGGTCTTAATATTATTATTTTGCCTCCCTCTCACAGAAAGCCATAGATCTTGCTAATAAAGCAGCACAGGAAGACAAAGCTGGCAACTATGAGGAGGCCCTGCAACTCTATCAACATGCCGTGCAGTATTTTCTTCATGTTATTAAATGTAAGGTCATAGTTTATTTAAAAGTAGTAGTTTCTGCCATTTCAGTTATAAAAGTGGAAGTAAAAATCCAAGGAAATTCTAATTCATCCTTGCACACACACACACACACACAACCCTCTTTTCTTACAAATAACTTTTAAGTACTCCAACTTAACTAATAAAGGTGAAAGATATTATAGTTACAACTTTGTATGCCTAGCATCCTAAAATGTTCAAGTCAAGAAGAACTTGATTTTATGAGTGGCATTCCCAAATTGTGTAATCTGAACATACCTATATTCTACCCATATACTTAGATGGGAGAGATTGGTGTCTTCTACAAACACGTATTGCTATTTGCCATGTGTCAGGTACTGTTCTGAGATAAAGTGAGAAAAGTAGATCTTAAGTTGGAGCAGTTGGTAGTTCAAGGTTTACTTTTGAGCTTTCCCATTTAAGAGGAAAGGGGAAGGTTCGTGCCAAATGAAAGGGAAACTAAGAATAAGTTCTAACACATAAGATTCATGCACTAAACCCATGCATTGAATATGTTGCTAAATCCACTTAGTAACTGATGGAGACATTTAGGTAGTAAGATTATTGTATTAATGGTACGCATACTATCTGAGACTCTAACATATTTGAAGTAAAGCTTATAAAAACATAGAAGTAATTTTGCTTTGCTCCGTTACTCCTCTTATTTTATTTTTATTAATATGTATTTTTCCTGTTGGGTTCAGTGTGATATTTGACACATCGATATAGCATGCACTGTCTGGCTTCTTTTATTTGGCCTTTCCCAGCTATAGAAAACCTGTTCTACATTCAGGCTTTCATGTAATTGGTTTCATGTTCAGTAGTCAGCTGTCAACTATCTGCAAAATGGAAAGGAAAGTATGAAACTACAGCATATGGTTGTTTAACATTAAAGTGCCTATGCCTTGCTCAGGTCACTTTTTTGCTCCAACCCACCTGTGATTTGCAAAGGACTAAGAAAGGGTTGAGGCTGGGCACAATGACTCAAGCCTATAATCCTAGCTGTTTGAGAGGCAGAGGTTTGAGGGATAGTGATTGAGGCCAGGCCAAGCATAAAATTTTTTAAGACTTCACCTCATCTAGGAATGATGGCATGTACTTGCCATTTTAGTTACAAAGGGGAGCACAAATACGAGGAGCATAGTCCAGGCTGCCCCTTGTATAAAACAAGACTCTATTTCAAAAAATCACCAACAGTGGGCTGGGAAGGTGGCTCAGTGTTAGAGCTCTTGCCTTGCATGCATAAGGCCCTGGGTTTTATTCCTTAGCACCACCTAAGCAGAAAAAAAAGCCGGAAGTGGCGCTGTGGCCCAAGTAGTAGAGTGCTAGCCTTGAGCTGAAGAGCTCAGGGACAGTGCCCAGGCCCAGAGTTCAGGCCCCAGGACTGGACCCCCCCCCCCCCCCCCCCAACAAAAAAAATCACCAACAGTTATTAACTTTCTATATAGAAAACTACTGGAAAAGTCTTTTTCATTCTCATCAACAGATGAAGCACAAGGTGATAAAGCCAAACAGAGTATCAGGGCCAAGTGTACGGAGTATCTTGATAGGGCAGAAAAATTAAAAGAGTACTTGAAGAAAAAGGAGAAAAAGCCACAGAAGCCAGTAAAAGAGGGACAACCAAGCCCAGCTGATGAGAAGGGGTATGTACGTAAAATGTTGATTGTAACTTTGCACTTGTTTACATTTGTTAGCAAACTATGAGTCATGGGTTAGAGTGAATTTGCTGCCTGGTTTTGGTCAGGATTTTTGTTGGAACAGAACCTCATCCATTTATTTGTTGTCAGGCAAGGCTGCTTTCATACTTTATCAGAATAGTTAGGGGTTGCTGTAAAAACCATATGGCCACAGTCCTCAACCTGAAATATTCATCGACGAGAATTTGCCTATCCATGTATGAAATACCTCAAGTACCTCAACTCCTTGCCTGCTTGCCTCTAATGGGGGAAGTATATGTTGGATGGTACTGGTTTGCTGTCTGCCTACTGTGTAATACCGAGGGTTGAAGTTGTACAGTGATCTGTGAACTACTGACAATGTGAAAAAAGTAAAAAGTAATTCTAATATGGCAAATAATATTTTGGTTCGTTTATGCAAAATTTTTCAATATATCTTTGTATTATGTTGTCACTAAAAAAAGGACAGCAAAATTTGTAAATATTGAAAGTAGGTTTTGGAATGTCTTTCTAGAAGAGATCTGTTTTGAAGGACATGAGGAATGGAATGTAAGAACTAGAGTTCACTGGTTGCTTCAAAGTACCTGGCAGAGTTTGAAGAAGATAACATAGTAAAGCTTTATATTCTCTGTTCAAGACATCTTAGGGAGCCAAGGAGTTTCTGGGACACCCCAAGAATATTTTATCTTCACCTACATCTCTGACGTAACATAACTCAAACCACCGTTTGAGTTATGATCTTAGGGAAATGTTTCAGTTTAAAGTTTATTGTGAAAGTACATTTAATGTGGGACAGAAACTCAATTGAACTTCATGTTTTATCTATTCATTTTGTTGGTCATGGGGTTTGAACTCTGGGCCTGGGCGCTGTCCCTGTGCTCTTCAGCTCAAGGCGAGGGCTCTACTGCTCGAGCCACAGTGCCACTTCTGGTTTTCTAGTGGTTTATTAGAGATAAGAGTCTCATGGACTTTCCTGCCTGGGCTGGCTTTGAACCGTGATTCTCAGATCTCAGCCTTCTGAGTAGCTCGGATTACAGGCGCCCTCAAACTTCAAGTTTTAGAAATTACTTGGCCTCAAGTGTCTGGGGCACTTCCCTCTGGCCCAGGCCTCATTGAGAAGCATCCATCTCCCCTGTTTGTGGAGACGGTGCAGTCCTGCATGGTGCCCCTAAACTTCCTTTGGTGCTTACCAGCGGTGCGGCAAGGGGATGCCACTTTTGATGCGCAGTCTTACATGGTATTACTGTATTCCTTATCACTAGAAGTGCCCAGTATGTCATATCCAAGAAGGGATTCCCTGCTGCCAAGCACTCCTAGTGAGCCCTCTGTCACAGCTCCTCTGCTGTCTCCACTTAGGCAGCCCCTACCTTCTTTGAGGAACCTATCCCCTGTGGAACCTACCTGCAAGGGGCCCTACAAAAGGCAGTTTTTTCCAGATGAGGAAAGCATGATGGGAAGTTGGATTAGGTGAATAAACTTCTCAGCGTCCATCTGATCCCTAAGCTAAGCATCCTTAGAGAAACAAAACCATCCTATCTGGGCATACACTCTAAAACGTTTTATATCCTTTATATCTTACATACATATTTTTAATGATGTAATACTACTTAAAAAAAAACATCAGTCTTCCACTCAGCGTTTTATCAGAAACACCTTACTCCTTTATTTCTTTACATCTATACTTCTCTAACATGATATTTTTGTTGTTGTTGCGATACTGAGGTTTGAGCTTAGAGCCTTACACCAGACAGGCACTCTACCACTTGAATTGTGTCCCAGCCCATTTTGTTTGTTATTTTTTTAATAGGGTGAAGCTGAACTGGACCTCAGTCCTCCTATTTTTCTTTCCCTCAAAGCTGAGAGTTATAGGCATATACCAGTGAACCTTGCTCTTCATTGGTTGGGATGAGAGAGGGATCTCAGGAGATTACAAGTTTTGCTCAGGCCAGCCTCCACCCAAACTCCTCCTGATCTCAGCTTCCCAAGTAGCTAGGATTACAGGTGTGAACCACACCACACATGGCTTACAAGATAATTTTTAAAGTTTGCAGTACATTCTGTCATAAGCTAAAGTTTTTATTTGCATAAAGATTATTTCTGATTTTGCCCTAGTCCAGTGTGAGTATTATTATCCTTGAAGTCAAAATCTTAAATTCACTTTGAATTATTTCCTCAGGATAATTCCTAGATAAATACTAGATTGACTGTTGCTCTTTGAGTTCGCTTTCCTTTATTAGGAAGTTCATTTATCCTTTGGAACCTTCAGACTAGGTTGGTGTACCTTAGATAACAGACCTTTGTACCTTATATGACAGTATGTGGTATTTTTCCTTCTGGTATGAATCCTTGTTCTGAGTTATATTTTGTCTGGTCCTGATTGACTTATTTTGTTTAAAAGTCTCCTGTAATTTTAAATTATTCATGGAACAATGTGTTGGACATGACTTTTTGAATTTGTATATGTATAAGTATGTAATGGCAATTTGGAGTTAGTTCCTGACTTACCTGTTTTTTTTTTTGTCCTTAATTCCCTATTGATTGATAATATGCCTGTTTCCTATTTTAATATATTCTTAAAAGTAACAAAATAAGCATAACTTCATACAAATGTCTTATTTTGCTACCTAAATTACAGATGTTTCAGGTTTATCTTTCATTTTTGCATGATTTTATACCAGTAAGGTGATTGAATATATTCAACTCTTTTTATTAGGAATGACAGTGATGGGGAAGGAGAATCTGATGATCCTGAAAAAAAGAAACTACAGAATCAACTTCAAGGTGGCTTTAGATTTCTTTTTTTTTTTTTTGGTCAATTGTGGGGTTTGAACTCTGGGCCTGGGCGCTGTCCCTCAGCTCTTCAGCTCAAGGCTAGTGCTCTACCACTTAAGCCACAGCGCCACTTCTGGCATTTTTCTTTTTGCTTATGTGGTGCTGAGGAATCGAACCCAGGGCCTCATGCATGCAAGGCAATCGCTCTAACACTGAGCCACCTTCCCAGCCTCTATACCTGCCTTTAAAAGGCTTAAGACAGCTTGCTCTCTTTCATTTTATTTGTTTTGCCCCATGTAGAGAAGATAGCTTTTATACTATTAGCACACTATAACATCTGATGGTTTTACAGTTGACTATTGTCATAGCAAAATAGGCGAGGAGTTTACAGTTGGCCTTTACTGCCACTGTTGTGGCTGGTTCTTTGATTCATGGCCACCTGCTCTTCCTTATCTGCTTTCTAATATTCCCACATATATTTCTGTCTTTACATTTTCTTTTCTCTTAGCTGTCTGTTTTACCCACCATACTTTAAAAGATTCTACTGACAAATCTAGAGAGTTGATAAATTGTAGCTCTTTGTGTGGAAAAGGCATCTCTTCATGACTTTACTAAGATTGTTTATCATTAAATATCGTCTAGTTCTTAATTCTAATTTTAGTTCCAGAATACCACATACCACATGCTGCAAACACACACATGAAAGTACAAATTGACTTTTTCTTCATATTAGACTAACCTTTTAACATGCAAAATATTTATGCTTCTATTTGATTTTAAGAACAAAGGTTTTCATAACAGGTTATAATGACAAATTTCTAAAAATATAATTAGTCTTAGTTTAATAATCTTAGTTTAATACTTCCTAACAAAAAGAAATAATCTATAAAACTTAATTTTAGAACCACTAAATTATGTAAGTGGTGTTTTTATTATACCTAAAACAACTGCATGTCATCTTAGAAAGGCAGCTTTAGTAGTTGAGTAATTTCATGAAATATTACCAGAATATTTTCCATGAAAAGCTTTTTATGAAATATTAGAACATCTTTTTAAAAAAATACAGGAACTTTTTCTCAGACTGCTAATGCAACAGTTGTATGGCTTGTTGGATCTATGAGTAGCCTTTTGGCCAAAATTGTTACAGATGCATAGGGATGTGCTTCCTTTGTTCCTGACACCTGCTTCTGCTTCCATTTCTATCCCCTTGTCTTACTTCTCCACCCTCTGCCTTCAGCTAAAGTTTTCTGGCATCTTCTCTCTGGTTAAGGAAAGCATTAGGTCACCTTTCCTGTTGGTAAACAGGAACAATAATAAATCTGCCCTTCTGAACAAGCACACTTGATCATCCAGAGTCAGTGTATTAAATATGGTAGCCACTTGTTTGGTGCTTATCTAAGCACACATGGTATTCATCATGCCCTATGAAGCTAGCCTAAGTAGTTTGGCCAGGTGATAGTATTTTTGTTTCACAGATGAAGAAGCATAAATGCAAACTTGGAGTTTTATCTGCCACCCAGCCAATTTCTTCACTCTTGGGACTAGTTCCCACAACAGCTTCCTCCTCCTCCTATTTCAAAAAGGTTTCTGGCTAAGGGAAGCTTTCCAGACAGTTTTATAATGCATTTCACTTAGCATCCTTATTTTATGTTGCTTTTTAACTTTGAAGAAAGTTAGTTTAGGTCACAGTATCCGCTCCCAAGTCTGTGCTGTGGCCCTGGCTGGTCAGTGTAGGAACCTTCTCAATAAAATTGCTTCTTTATTAACAAAAAAAAAGAAAGTTTAAAGATGTCATGATTTTTTTTTCGGGGTGGAGCCAGGTCCTGGGGCTTGAACTCAGGGCCTGTGCACTGTCCCTGAGCTTCTTTTGTACAAGAATAGCAATCCACCACTTGAGCCACAGCTCCACTTCTGGCTTTTTCTGAGTAGTTTATTGTAGATAAGAGACTCTGGGACTTTTCTGCCCAGGATGGCTTCGAACCATGATCCTCAGAGCTCAGCCCCAGCATAGCTAGGCTTGCAGACATTTGCCACCACTGCCCTGCTGACATGATTTTTTTTGTAGGTGCCATTGTTATAGAGCGACCAAATGTGAAATGGAGTGATGTGGCTGGACTTGAAGGAGCCAAAGAAGCACTCAAAGAAGCTGTGATTCTGCCTATTAAGTTTCCTCATCTTTTTACAGGTGAGATACCTTTGAACTAGTTTTATATGATGACTTTTCTAAATTACATAAATGGCTAAGGTAAACATTGTGAGTTCTTGTCATATTATGAATTAACTTAAATTGTGACAGTTGTAGGTGGTAATATATCTTCACAAAAGAGGTTTTCTTTCCTATATCTGCATCTATATTTGCAATAGATATTAAAAAATCCATAAGGAATCCAACTGACATTCAGTAGGATATTATGGACTCATTAAAATACAGCATATATCAGTAATAATAAATTTAGGTTCTATATTAAGAATGTCAAAATCTCTTGTAAAGACCAAAAATCAAATCTTGAGTACAGAGAATGTGTATTAAATAAATGGGTCTACTGAGAAGTAAGTATAAGGTTGGCTGACTTAAAAATATTAATGTGGGCTGGGAAGGTGGCTTAGTGGTAGAGTGTTTGCCTAGCATGCATGAGGCCCTGGGTTCAGTTCCTCAGCACCACATAAGCAGAAAAGGCCGGAAGTGGCATTGTGGCTCAAGTGGTAGAGCGCTAGCCTTGAGCTGAATTGCTGAGGGACAGTGCCCAGGGCCAGAGTTCAAGCCCCATGACCCACAGTAAAATAAAATAAAAATTAATGTATGTCCAAAGAGTAAGACTTTAGATGATTTTAACTTTTGCCTTTCATTTGAATTGCTTGCACCAGTCACGTTTGAGTATTCCTATTTCTAAATGAAAGAAGAGTCAGAATGATTTAATGGTTTCAGATGAAAAGCAAATGTCCTCTAGGGAGAACAGCTATCATCACTGTGAAGAGAATGTTACTGACCCACCATCGGGAGGTAGCTCAGGTTCTGATTCCAGCAGTAAGTGACCTATCAGTGCAGAACCATTCCTTCCCATAGTGCTCTTGTGACTGACAGCCTGTGCCTGTGATGGGGCTATACCTAGCCTTTCAAGAACAAGTGGTCTATGTTGAGATTGACATTGGCCTCAAACTGAACAGATCCAGAAAGTAACAGAGAATAAAGAACTTCTGGGCTTCAGGTAGACTTACACCTAACTTCAGAAATATGAAACTCACAGTATAAAAGTTGACATAATTCTGTGAGGGCACAAAAATATAGTTGAGCCACTGTATTAATGTGCAAGTATTTCCCACACATAAGTTTTTCTACATGTGTACCTTTTTTGTTTTGTTTTGTTTTGTTTTGGTTGGTTGTAGGGCTTGAAATCTGGGCCTGGGCATTGTCACTAAGTTCTTCAGCTCAAGGCGAGTGCTCTACTACTTGAGCCACAGTGCCACTTCTACCCTTTTCTGTTTATGTGGTGCTGAGGAATCGAACCCAGGGCCTCATGCTTATAAGGCAAGCACTCTACCACTGAGCCACCTTCCCAGCCCATGTGTACCATTTTTAAAGTACTTTTTCTTCAAATAAAAATGGCATAAATACAGAGAGACATTTTGGAATCTGCAAGTGTTCAGCTTCCTTAATTTCCACAGCGTTGGTGAGCTTGTGTGTGTAACAGCCTTGAGCTAAGCAATGTGCTACCACCTGAGCCTGCCCATAGCCTCTTCCCAGTTCCTCGCGGTTGTCATCCCTCTGTTGGCTTCCAACAGCATAGGTTAATTTGCTCATGGTTGACCTTCAGTCCATCTCATTTGTCTTCAAAGACTGCTTTCTGCCTACTATAAATGAAAAAAGTATTTTTCTAATACATATTAATGGCAATTATTTAAATATAAAGTGTTTGAATGCGACCTCAAAGTGCTTCATGTGGTGATAATACTGTTGTTCTATAACCACCCTCTCAGAGACATTGACTTCAGTTGGTTAAACTTACATCTTGTGTTGTTGTTCCGTTTTGTTTTGGGGATAGAAATCCTCTGTGTAGCCTGGGCTGCCCTCAGTTGCCTAATCCCTAATGCCTGTTTTCCAAGGGCTAGAATGACAAGTATGCCCTGCTCTTGCAGCATTTAGCGGGGTACAATTCAAATACAAGTTGAGCTTTCATAGCAGTAATGATAGGAAGCTGTGCTTCGTTTTGCCACCAGTGGTTTGCTTAGCGTTTCGTTGAAAATACTGTGTACATCCACATATACCCAGCACGTTTTAAAATCTATATTTGATATTTCATTGCCACAACTTGCTTTATTCCTCATTATAATTCCTCATTGGCAAAACTGAGCGTTTTCATGTCTTTACCCAACCAATGAGGTTGGTAACTGGGATATTAATTTGTACTTCCTATGAATCAAGAATTTAACAGAACTGGACAAGTTATCCAAAGTGTTAGGCTCATTCTTCCAAAGACAATCTCTCCAGCTGCCCTGTCTTCATGTACAGTTTTTCTACAGGGCTTTCGTGTTGAGAAGTATAAAGAACAGACCATCTAGAAGGAACCTTTAATTGAACCCTGTCTCCTTCACTAACTAGACTATAAGCCCTGGAGGGAAGAGATCCTTTTGGATTGGCCTGCACATTATGGTCTCCATATATATTGTTTGAATGAACAAGTAAATGAATTGCCTACTAGAAGGGCTACAATGATGTCTACTTATAAAGTGATCTGCATTTTTGACAGAGTAGTCTCTAGAAAGAGCGAATAAAGTATATTTAAAAAGTACTTACTTTTGACTTACTTAAAAAAATCTTATGGTGAGAGCTCCAAAGAGAAAACCTTCTCCTAGCACTCTTCACTGTGGATGATTAATGTCTACAGTGACTGATAGTAGTCTTCACATTCTTCTTTTATTATGCACCTGTAGGTAAAAGGACACCTTGGAGAGGAATCCTACTGTTTGGGCCACCTGGGACAGGAAAATCTTATTTAGCCAAAGCTGTAGCAACAGAAGCAAATAACTCAACATTCTTTTCAATATCTTCTTCTGACCTTGTTTCTAAGTGGCTGGGGGAAAGTGAAAAGTAAGTAGTAAATTGATTGTTAATATTTTTAGTTTCTTCTTTGAGTAGTTGTCACTGTATCAACTATAAAATAATTTGTTTTACATCATTAATAATACTCAGAAAAGAGATACAATATTGGTATTCATTTCCCTCAGTCCCTAATTTGGAATTTACTTTGTAGGGGAAAATAACAGCATACAAGTGTTTCTGTGTATGTGTAATTTAGTAAATTGTAAAATGAATTGTCTACTTGTAGCATTCTTAATTCCAGCTCCTGAAATATCTTAGGCTTTTAATCAATTCAGTTCTGGTAATGTCCATTTGTTGCCTTGTTTCAGTCTTACTTCTCTAGCAACTACAGGTTTTATTTACTTTTAGGTTGGTTAAGAATTTATTCCAGCTTGCAAGAGAGAACAAGCCTTCCATCATCTTCATTGATGAAATTGATTCCCTGTGTGGCTCCCGGAGTGAAAATGAGAGCGAGGCTGCTCGGAGAATTAAGACGGAATTTCTCGTCCAGATGCAAGGTGGCATTGCTGCTGTGACTGTTTTAATACAGTTTTTCTTTATTATGAAGCCAATAGTTTAACAGTGTAGAAAAATTAAATCCCATTTCTCCATTTTAACTGTCTCATTTATACCACATTTTCATCCTTTTTTTTTTTCATGTGAATGTGTGATTTTTTTATCCACTTGCAGTTACTTAACAGGGCTCAACTCACTGGTAAAAATAGTGAAGACTTTAATATGACCATCTATAAAATGCCAGGAGAAATAGCAATCAAAGGAATCTTTTGAAAAGGATAACAATAGTATTTTCCACAATCCAGGAGATTTGATTCTTGGGAATATTTACATGATCTTAGAGTAACATGAATACAGAGATTTAATTGAGAGGTTCAAAGTAATTGAAAAGTTCAAAATGTAGTTTCTCCAAGAGTCTCAAAATGAGGCACCTTAATGTTAATAAAGATTTACATTTCTGAACAGAACACAGATGAGTTTTAAAAACACTACAGTGACAAATTAAAGTATTGGCCATTTTAATACAGGGGTTGGTGTGGACAATGATGGAATTTTGGTTCTGGGAGCCACAAATATACCCTGGGTTCTGGATTCTGCTATTAGACGAAGGTAAGATGATAGAGTAAATACCTTGTTTCTAACTATATATGTCACAAGTGAATGATGACTCCCTTTTGCCTAGTGAGGAGGCATTCAGGGAACTACTCTGTGGCCCTCTGCTTTGGGGGAAGAGGAAAGGCCTTTGCCATGTTTGTTTGCCTGCTGTGTTGCAGATACAAGCTTTCTTAAGTGCAGTCTTTTCACATTGGAAAATATATTGTCACAGGCTTACCTTTAATTTTGATTAAGCTTAGTGAGCATTGATGCTTCCAAAACTTATATAGTTCTGTATGCCCATTGTATTTATAATTCTGGTGTGATTCTTTTACAGGGTAAATAAGGTAAGGATGATAGATTTTTAGTAAACAAAAGAAAATTGTGTCTGTATTGTATCTGCCTGTAGCTCATGCCTGTAATCCTAGCTCCTCTGGAGACTGGGATCTGAGGATTGTGATTTAAAGGAGAGGCTATGGATTTTTATCTCCAATTAACCACAAAAAGCCAAAAGTAGAGCTGTGGCTCAAGCATAGAACACCAGTCTTGAGCTAAAAAGGCAATGGATAGGCTCCAGTACCAGCATACAAAAAAGAAAAGAAATGGTGTCTGCAACTTTTTTCCAAACCTCAGTTGTAGGAAAGGTGTGCAGATTTTACTTCTCACCGTAGGGCATGCATTTAGTCTTGCATGGTAAAACTTATAAGCACTTCCCTTTGAGCTACTCTTACTAAATTTACTTGTTGGTTTGCCAACGTGCTGGATTTCTATCCATTTACTAATAAAGGAAATGTGTGAAGAGTATTTCAAACCTGTGTTTAGAGGTAATAGAAACTAATTTCTTAAAATCTCCCAACCCCAGAGAGTTACTTGAAGGAGAACAGTCTGCAAAGACCACTTAAGTTGTCCTTCATTGCTTTCTCCCTACCTCCAAACACTGAAATCCTGAGAAGGCAAATAAGATCGTTAGTAAAACCCAGTACTTTATTATTTATAGTATGTGATAATTTGTTCTGAATAAAACTTGGGGCTTTACATAGTAGGTTTATTCTGTCACATTTTTGAGTAATTTTACTAGTTTGAATTTAGAGAATTATTGTCATTTATTTTATATTACTGATCATTAACCCATTCTTCCAGGATTCAGAGTACAAACTATGGCAAACTATAACCCTGTCGGACTTGCCCTTTTAAGTCATTTATTCCAAATAGAATAAACCCCAAATAAGCCAGAATAACTCCTATTTTGCTGTCATCTTTTGTTTTTAATGTATCCCTAGATATTTGCCCCATATATAATGAATATATGTATTTGTCACATGTTTAGCTTATTTTGGTATCATTGAAAAATATCTAAATACCTGTTTCTTGAAAATGTCCTGATTGGTCTTAAGAGACAAGATCTCTACACATAGCCATAGCTGGTCTAGAACTCAAAATCCTTCTGTCTCAGTCTCTCATGTGCTGAGCTTACAGGTATGCACCACCATGCCTAACCTGAAGAAGTCCTATGTATATATTTTAACATTCCTGACCTTACGTTATCTTTTTTTTTAAGATTTGAGAAGCGAATTTATATTCCTTTGCCTGAAGCCCATGCCCGAGCAGCAATGTTTAAACTGCACTTGGGCAGCACACAGAACAGTCTAAAGGAAGCTGACTTCCAAGAACTTGGGAAGAAAACAGATGGCTATTCGGGCGCAGACATAAGCATCATTGTGCGAGATGCACTCATGCAGCCTGTTAGGAAAGTTCAGTCAGCCACTCATTTCAAAAAGGTAAGCAACTTTAGTCTGTCTTTCATATATCTTTTTATTTTTTCTGGTCAGTCTTGCGGCTTGAACTCAGGACCTGGGAGCTGTCTCTGAGCTCTTTTGCTCAAGGCTAGCATTCTGTCACTTTGAGCCATACCACCACTTCCAGTTTTCTGATGTTTCATTGGAGATAAGATGTTTCACAGACTTTCCTGCCCAGACTGGTTTCAGATCTCAGCCTCCTGAATAGCTGGGATTACAGATGTGAGCCCCCAGCGCCTGGCCTGTTATTTTTAAGATCAAGTTTAAGAGCATTATTGGTTTGTCTTCAAAGGAGTTGGAATGGACATTTCTGTTTCACTGAAAATACTTCTCCAGTAAAGCTTAATAGTCTTTGTTAGTAGTGCTAAACTGTTTTAACTTTTTCTCTAGATGGTTTTTTAAGTATTCCTGCATTGTTTTGGGGTAAACATAGAAATATAAATTACATAGTTGCAAAACTGCTTCTGATGTAACTAGAACTATCCCAAGCAGAATCTGGTACATTAAACCTCAAGAACAAAGTCCAAATAATACAAGCCTAGTGTCTTTCAGGTGAGCACACTGTCTGGCGCACTGTGCTGTATCCTGAATTGTTATTTTGAGTTCAATAACACCATGAGAAAGGCACGTGGTAACTTCTGGAATTTAATGTGGGACTTGGATACTAACAATTACCCCAGCATATTACAATGTGAAAGTGGTAGAAATGTCATTCATACTACAGAATCTGAATTCAGGTTATTCTTCTGACTTGCCTTCCTTGTGAATGAGTTTAGTGTTTGACTGAGATACATTTTTGTTAAAAAAAAAATTTTAGAAGTCTCACCCTGTGGCCCAAACTGGCCTCAAACTCATAATCTTCCTGCCTCAGCCTCCCAAATGCTGAGATTATAACTTTGCCATGGTATGATTATAACTTAAATTACAGTGGATTGCTACTTGGGATCACCCACTGGACAGCAGTGTCTACCATTTCTTAAGGTAATACATGTGAAATTGTAAAAAAACAAAAACAAAAACATAAACCTAATCCTATAGCATGACAAAACTAAAAGATTAGGACTGTTAACATTTATATAACTGTCATATGCCATAATGAAGTTGTGTAAGTTATGAGATTTAATTAAAACAGGGATGAATCATAATTAGGTATCTTCAAGCAGATATAGTACCTATTTAAGGCTCATTTTTGTCTCTAAAGAAGATAACACTACTTTCAAGTGATGTCATAAATAATCATAATAGTCATGGTACCAAAATTTGCCTGCCTTTACTGCTTTTCAACCATTTTATTTCTGAGAGCAGAATGGTCTCAGATTACCTTTAATATCCAAGTCATTACATTTTCTCTTAAATTTTCTTAGCTGTTCACTACAAATTCTTAGGAATTGAATCCTATCCTATGCAGAATTAATTATTCAGTTCTAGATATTATTGCTAGGATTGCCTTAAATGACTGTGAAGCCAGATTCTAGTTACTAACATAAAGGTAACACAACCAGACCAATTTTTGAAATTACAATTATTAATGAATAAATTGTGCAAAACACTAGGCTTCACTGTGGCATTCCCTTATATACATATGGTTTGTGATCAGAACAGTTCCAACACTAGGACTTTTATAACCAACTTTACTAACCATTGCTACAACTCTTATTCTTGTCTTTGTTTGCATGGCTAATTACTTCAATTAGCATATTTGCCTGTTAATTTTGTTTACTGTATTTTGAAATATTTAAAGTTCTAATCCAGGTTTAAAGTTAAACCAGGAAGTAAACAGCTAAGAATGACAAAGGTATCTGGCTCTGTGTAGCTGAAATTTTGAGGAGGAAAGACAGATGTTCACATAATAAGTAAACAGTATATGTATTTCTTCATCCCTATGCCAACCCCAAAGTAGATCATTGTAAAACATGAAAGCAGTCCCAACCTGAGACACATCTAAATACTTGCACATGACTTTATATCACAGAGGTTCTTTTCCAGTTAATGTTAGAACTTTTTTATTTTAAATAAGTTAGCCGTCATAAGATGGTATGGAGATTATTTGTTGTGTAATTAAATTTAAAAGGGACATAAAGATTTTAGACTAGCACATCCATATATCTCAAGTTTTTCAGCCAAGTAAAACAGCACAACTTAGGATATTTGAATATATTTCCTTTTGGTCCCCAAGATTGTTATACCAAATAAGCTGTAGAGGATAAAAAAGGAACAGGTAGCCACAGATAACTGTTTTCTCTTTTATTTACTCAAATTCAATCAACCAAAATCTATTCACTTACCCAGCGGTACTTATTTTTGTTGCGTATTCTTTTGCAGAAGTAAGCATTTTAATACGTGTAACAGTTAATATGTTTTTCGATTTTCTTTAAGAGCCTACATTCTTAGGCCATTTTTCTTATGCTTACTTAAGTTCGTGTTTGCTACAGGTGCGAGGACCTTCCCGAGCTGACCCCAACACCATTGTGGATGATTTGCTGACACCCTGCTCTCCAGGGGACCCTGGAGCCATTGAAATGACGTGGATGGATGTCCCTGGAGATAAGCTTCTGGAGCCAGTGGTTTCCATGGTAAAGCACTATACTTCGTAATTTGCCAAATAGATGAAATCTTAACGTTTTTAAACAATTGCTGGGAAGTGTTCCTTTGTTTATTTAGTAATATTGACTCATTCTTAAAGTAGTAAAGGTTAATTGAGCTTAAAACACAAAAACTATTGTCTTTATTATTTGGGGGGGGGTGTTAAATGTTTATTAAACCAGGCATTTAAATTCTATATACACTTAAAGACTGTAAACAAATACAGTGTATTTGTAATTACTGTCTTTAAAGTGGTTTTTTTAGGCTGCAAGACGTTTTTGTGTGTATGTGTGCCAGTCCTGGGACTTGAACTTGGTACTGTCCCTAAGTTCTTTTGCTCAAAGCTGCTCTACTCCTTGAGCCCCAGCTCCACTTACAGCTTTTTGGTGGTAAATTGGATATAAGAATCTTAACAGACATTCCTGCTTGAACTGGCTTTGAACCTAGATCCTCAGATCTCAGCCTCTTGAGTAGCTAGGATTACAGGTGTGACCCCTGGTACCTGGCTTAGGCTGCAAGACTTTTTAAGAGAAAGAATATTTATCTTTTAAAGCACAGTGTTCTGACCTCATATGTTTTAAAACTAGAATAGCATTCTCCAAATGCTTACGTACGTTCACAAATTATTGCCAAGACTTAACTGAAAAGTAGGATTGGTATGGAGTTCTTCCTCTGAATCTCAGTTTTCAAAACCACCAGAAACAGTGATTCTGGTGTCATAGGGTTCACAATGGTCCTTTCCAGCTTTTTTTCTCCAGGCTCCACAGAAAGTTTCAGCAGTTGAGGTTTTAAATTGTTACTTGAAAAATAACTTACTTTTTTCTTTTAAAAAATGTAACTGAATTTTATAGCATTTTTGCTGTAAAATGTATTTCTAAGATGGGTTGCTTACAACTGTAATCTTAGTTATTTGGGAGGCTGGTAAGGATCACAGTTTGAGACTAACTGAGGCAGAAAAGTGAGACCCCTTTCTCAACCCAAAGCTGGGTACAGTAGTATTCACCGTCATCCCAAGCTACCTTAGAAGTTGGAATTGGGAGGTGGGAGGTTCTTGGATCCAGGCAGTCCAGGAAAGAAGTGCAGGACATAGTGGTATACACCTGTCCTCCCAGAAACAAGAGGCTCAAAGTAGAAGAATCACAGCTCAGGTATTTGCCGAGGCAAAGAGCAAGAGCCTTTTCAAAAATAACGATTAAAAAAACCTAGGCAGGAGCCAGGCACCAGTGGCTCATGCCTGTAATCCTAGCTAGTCAGGAGGCTAAGATCTGAGGATTATGGTTAGAAGCCAGTTGGGGCAGGAAAGTCCTTGAGACTCACCTCTAATAAACTACCAAAAATAAAAGCCAGAAGGGGAGCTGTGGCGCAAGTGGTAGAACACTAGCTTTGAGCAAAAGAAGCTTAAGGATCATGCCCAAGCCCTGAGTTCAAGCCCCATGACCAGGAAAAAGATATGTGGTCTAGAGGCTTGGCTCAAGGGATAGAACAACAGCCTAGCAAGCATAAGTCCCTGATTTCAAACCTCAGTACTGCTTAAAAGAAAAAAAGGAATATATTTCTTATATTAGAGGAGTAAAATAATTTGTAAAATTTTATTTTGTAACTATTACTTTTAGGATATTTAAAGTTTTCTTCTTGGTGAACACTTTAAGTTTTCAAAATTTCTTCAGCACTTCTATGTATGTGCTATGTAGATTGAGATAAACGGGCACAGATGTATGTATGTCTATATGTGTGTATATACACACACAGTGATCTTATGTTTATGTGTTAACTATGGTTATTTGAGAAATTATTCAGGAATCTCTTTTGATTTTAATCCTTTACAGATGGTCTCTTTTAAGTGTTTGTATTCTGTCCAGCGCTGAAGGACAACAGTAGTGTAGGAGTGTTCCTTCTCAGTACCTGGCATACAGTTTTGCAAGACATATTCTCTCTTGGTTGCTGTTGTTGCTAAGGTTTTTGTTTTGTACGTATGGTTTAGATTTTTGAGGCTGGGACTCGCTAGGTAACCCACAGTCCTCCTTCCTCTTTCTCCTAAGTGCTGGAACTACCATGCCACAATAATTTTTTTAATGAATCTTAGTGTTTGAGTCATCTATTGTTTTCCTCTGGCTAATTGATTTAAAAATTGTATTCTGCTTCATTTAATTACAAGTGAATTGTGATTTACTTAATTATAAGTGTGCTACTGAGAAGGCAGAGATCACAAGAATCTGAGTTAGAGAGCAGCCGGGCAAAAAGTTTTTGAGGAACAGCCCCCACTATAGGAACCACTATAAAGCTGTTAATATGGTAAAGTATCTGTCATCCAGCTATGTAGGAAGTGTAAGGACCTTATCCCCAAAGAGCCAAAGCAAAAAAGACGGACTCTAGTTTGAGTGATAGAGTACCTGCCTAACAGTCATAAGGCCCCGAGTTCCAACTAGATCAGCCAAAAAAGAAGTTAAATTTATTGTATTTATTCTTCCTGTCCTGAATATTTGATTTTCAAAATTTTCTGCTTTGCCAGACACGAATGGCTCATGCCTGTAATCCTATCTCCTCAGAAGGCAGAGACTTTTGTATCGCAATTCAAAGCCAGCCCTGGCAGGAAACTACTCAGAAATAGCGCGAAGTGGTACTGGTTCAAGTGGTAGAGCGCTAGCCTTGAACACCAAAGCTCAGGAACAGTGCTCAGGCCTGAGTTCAAGCCCACAACCAGTAAAAAAAGAAAAAATTCTGCTTCATAGATTTTTGAACACTTCTGTAGCAAATAACCAATTTTTTGTAGTACTATTAGTGTATTAATTTTGAACTGCACTTAGGAAAACTAATCTTATATTTAATGAAAACAGATAAGACCAGAAATTAGATTGTAACCTTATTGTAGTGGTATTTGTGGTAAGGTAATGAGAAGCCTAGTGGAAGGTTTTGATCAGCACAAGGGAAGAAATGGAAGATTTCTATACAAAGGAATGATATGGTCAAAGATATCCATTGGAAAGCATAAGGGAATTTATTGCATTGTTTGTATTTAGCCTTGTTTGTCATAAGAATGCAGTGGCTTATATTTTATTTCATCTATTAACACTCCTCCCCCTCTTTTCTGATAGTGGGATATGTTGCGGTCACTGTCAAATACAAAACCCACCGTCAATGAACACGACTTGTTGAAATTAAAGAAGTTTACAGAAGATTTTGGTCAAGAAGGCTAAACCAAAGACAGCAAGGAAGATGTTTACCACATGCCTTTCTTTCTTTCATAGATATGTTTTCTGCCTTTCGGGGATGGCACTGACATTATTTCCAGTGACTCTTACCAGTCTACAAACATCTCACTTCAGAGTTCCTTTTAGTTTGTATTGTACTTTTCCTCCATAACCTACCTTTTAAGTGTTCCCATAGACAAAGATGGTACAATAATGGATTATAAGGAAATAAGCAATATGTGAATGGCGCATAAACAGAATTATCCAGCAAAAAGAGTATTAAAAATTGATAAATACTTAAAATTTTTATGAGTAATGTTCTTTGCCAAGAGCATTTTTCATTTTTTTAGTAAAATGAAATAGGGCTTTATATTTTGACAAAAAATGTCTTAAACATTCTTATCAACGTGAATTTTACTTACTTTATTAAAAATGATAGAGTCTTTACTCAGGGATAGGCAATAAAACAATAAAGAGCATTGATTGGTATTGGGAAGATTTTGAATTGTGTCATGGTCAGTGCTCTTACTTTTTAATAGGTTGTTGTCTTGTTTTGTTTTCCTGTGGAGATTTAATTCTTTTCAAGGTAGAAAGCTTTTATAATTAAATGATACCTTTCACTGTGCAATCTCAAGAGAAAGACTTTCTAAATTAGATGTTGAATTTACCTTGAAGATGAAAAGTCTATTTCAATGTCTTTTGTAGCAAGATTGACCAAAACAGGTGGTAAAGAAGTATGAATTTTTTTTAATAACTGTCATGAGATATTGTAATGGGAACCTTTGCTAATAAGAAAATGGCCTCCCTTTGGATTATGGGATGTTTTCCAGTGTGTGAAATGGGTGTGTGTATTGTACATATGTATGTATATATAATTTTTTAAGATACAGAATATAACAAAGGTCTTGCTTTCCACCTTTTAAGTTCAGGGAACAGTTGGTCCTGTCCACACATGTGTTATCAGTGTGACACTTCATGAGGCTTTAAAAATGAACTTATCTCATTGGATAATAAAACCTAAACATGTTATTTTAGTGTTTAAATAAATGATCTGAGGATGTGTTACACACTTTAGCATCGACACTAAGTTGTGCCTTGTACATTTGCATTGACTATATATGCAAAGACTAAGTTAGAATGAGGTAGAGTCCTTAATTACTATAAAGTTCTACCTTACAAATTCTATATAGTAACTTACATTTTAAACTATATTTGCACATTCTACATACTATGTTATATGGTTGCCTTGGGGTTTTCTGTACAGATTGTTGATATTCAAGGAAATCATAGGCCTAAAACATGATGTTCTGATGTGAAGTAAAGTGATAATAACCTACAATGGTTGTATGCTTTGTATGCTTTTTTTATTTGGAGTCTTGGTGTGTGGGTACAAAGAAATAACATGAAATTTTTGGACGTATACATGAGAAGACTGGGTATGGTTTAATGTGAAACTCTTTGGCCAATAAGCCAGATTGCTTGGTTACAGGCAATTTAGTGGGGAGAGAAATAATTACACAAGGAGGCAATCAGCCAAAAGAGAATGTAAAATATTCTACAAGACAACTGACCTGGTTTCCTCAAAAACTTAGTTATTTTGAAAACTAATGGTTAAAGGACTCTTCTACTCATCTTGATTAAATGAAATAGAAGACACATAAAATAAGTGAACCTTGATTAAATCCTGGTTTGGAAAAAATTATAAAACAGTTTATGAAACAAAGACATGACTGTGGACTAAGATTATGGAATCGTTGTGAATTGTCTTAGACATGGTAATGCATTCCCTGGGGTTATGTTTATATATGTTTAATTCTACCTCTAGTTGTGCTTCAGATCATGTAGTGTGTCATAAGGATGAGAGGAAAATTACTACGGTGTTCTTAGCTCACACTGTCAGAAAAGTACCTCATACACTCACACACCTACATGAAAAGTACATTTGGTTACGTAAGATTATGCGATGAAGTATAGTGTCTGGAAGAGGTGAAGCTTGGAGTCAGTTTTTTTTTTTTAAAGCATGTAGCTGTCTCCAGGCACTGGAGGCTCACAACTAATCCTTGCTAATCTTGAGGCTGAAGTCTTAGGATCACAGTTTGAAGCCAGCCTTAACAGCAAAATCTATAAGATTCTTTTATCTCCAACTAACTACCAAAAGGCAGGAAGTAGATTTGTGGAATGTTTGCCTTCCTTGAGGGAAAAAGCTAGGGATAGTTTCTGGTCTCATGAGTTCAGGTCTTTGTACCAGTACCAAAAAAAAAAATAGTTGTAGATTCATAACTGACATCTTGATGTTTCCCACATAACACAGACCTATGAACAATCCTTGAAGGTCATGGAAGTATCCATTACAACTGGACACTACCATTCTGGGCTGTATGCTAAGGCTTTTGGATATACATAGGATATGGTGTGTGTGTGTGTGTGTGTGTGTGTAAACAGAGTCTCGTTCCAGAGTGGATGGCCTGGAACTGATCCTGCATCACTTCCAAAATGGTGAGTTGCAGGTGTGTGCCACTATCATGCCCAGCTGGCCAGTATACCCTTAAAGGCTCAAGACCTTATACTCTGTAATTCATAAGATAAAGTTTCAAACTACATAGGGCACGAAAAGGTACCAAGGTACCTAGGTACTCTTAAGATCTAGATTGTTAAAAAGTATTTGAGCTGAACATGGCAGGTTGTAAGAATAGGAAGAGTGATGTTAGAAATAACAAGAGGTGTAGTGTGGACATAGCACCAGCCAATTAGCTAGCAGTAGTCTTAATTTCCAAGGTGATGTGTTACAATCTTTGTAAAAGCACAAGTGCACCCTTCTTAGCTTAAGTGTGCCAGGTACTGAAAAAGTAACAATTCCTGGTTTGAAAACTGGTAGGTAGGGTGGTGAGGACAGGAACGGTTCCTTTCTGTCATCTGAAGTTTCACTGGGATGAACTGGCAAAGGTTAAAAGAAGAAAAGGCATCTAGGGTTAAAAGATGGAACCACAGCATGGGAGTTAAGTCAGCAACCTCTAAGAGGCTTATACACGCTTTTCTACAGAAAAGTTATTAGGGGAATGTAGACAGTTTTGAGGCGTTTCAAATGATTAGCGAGAATGAAACAGCTTGTAAAAGTATCCCTCTGCTGGGGCAAGTGTGTGGGAAGGGTTGGAGCTCACAAGGAAGGTGCATAGGGTGAATATGGTCAGAATGATGGTTTACACCAATGAAGATGCCACAACGAAACCTGCTGCAATTGTTTCAGGAAGGGAAAAGCCAGACCTGGAGAGTAATAGAGTAAGACTGATTGGAAGGCATCATATACATGAACAAAGTCCAGCTCCCCTGCGTAATTGATATGTGCCCGGGTTTTTCTGTTTGTTTGATCTGAGCCCAAGGGACAGACATCATCTTGTACTGGAGGTCAGTCCACGTATGGTTATGCATTTTCCATCTAAGGTAAGTGGTGGTATTTTGGATGGAGAGGGTGCTCTGTCTGGAAGGAGATAGCTGGTTTTCCTCTTTGCCATCTGGTTGGAATGCAGTGAATGCAGGGAACTGCAGTGATTCCTATCATTTCTAAGTGGGCAGAATCAAAGCAAGGATTCCCTGGGGTCAGATGCTTACCAGGCCCCCCAAATACCTCTTTTCTCTCTCTCTCTTTGAGGTATCATCCTGAGCTCCAATTAGGTCAAATTGAAATCTGCCAGGCTGAATAGTGCCATTGTTTTGGTCACGTGACAAGGCCGGTGAACGGGACCCTTATTGACTCCAGTTTGGAGATTAGGCTTACCTCTGTACAGTGTCACCCTGGCAGTGCTGGCGAGAGGACAAAGTACCCATTGACATCAGACGTGTTGGGAAATGGAGTTCGAAGCCTGGCCTTTGCCCGACTGCAAGGTAGGTGATGGGTGGTAAAGGGAAGAATTGGCCCTTGTCCGGAGAGATCTGGTCTTTGTCTCCGGCTTGGGGGGGGGGGGCAGAGCACCTGTGGTTAGACAGGCTGCTGCAAGTGGAGGTTGAGGGTCACCTGGCCGTGACAGGACCAGCCATTTCGGGGGGGGGGGGATGTTGGTTTCCAGTAGTCCCAGTTGACGAACATCAACCGCTTGAACTCCGTCCAACCTCCTGGGCCGACCCCACTGACGGCGCCTCCAACGCCCCCCACCCCGAGGCGCAGGCTGCGCTCCCGGCCCGGCCCGCGGCTCTGACCCCTGCGCTGGTGACACCGGGCTCTGAAAGCCCGGAGGCCGTAATTCGGTGATTGGTTTCCTCAAGTCCCTGTGCGGGTTTTCCGGGTCCTCGGAAATAAAGGAGCATTGTGTTCTAGGATCGCGGGGAAAACGCGAAGTGGAACCTGGGCGAGGGGTGTCTGAATCCCCGGCTCAGGGAGCCGAGATCGGGACGAGATCCGCAGATCCGGACGCCGGAGTTCCCTTCCGCCCTTAGCGGCGGCCGGGCCTCCGGGGCTGGGCTGGCGGGATCCGGCTGGGGAGGGGCGGCGGTGGAAACCCGCTCCGCGGGGTCCTAACACCGCCGCAGCAGCCGTCACCCCGCGTCCTG